TATATATATATATATATATATATATATATATATATATATATATGATATTCTGAGTTTTGAATCTGCCTTTGAGCATGAAGCCTATTGAAAGAGAATTCACTCCTTAGAAATGAAGGATTTTTGTTCATCGCACTGTAAGAAATAGAAGCTTCCTCTGCCGGCTTTGCTTGATGGTAATTTATTTAGGATTAAGGTCACAATAAGCCAAACTTGAAATATAAAATGGAACACTAAAATAACATATCAAACCTTCGAAAGTCACATGATCATCTACTTTTTGTACGAGGAAAATAAGTATACATATATATATACTTAATCCCATATTCAGTGAAACACTTGATCAGATAGTAAGAATATGGGTGCAAGCATTGCTATTGCCATAGCATTTATGATTAGTATTGTTTTTTGTTTCTTATCTTGTTTAGTCCGTAGAAGGAATTTACAGCGAAAAAATGCTCTGTCTCAAAGCAGAACAAGAGAAGGGAACATGGTTGTTTTAGCAGGAGCCACTGCTGGTGTTGCTGGTGCTACTGTTGCTGCAAACAGCAATGGTACTACTGACGATGAACGTAAGCGTGATGAGATAAGTATTGACCTAGGAGCTGCTGCTGAGGCAACTGTTAACGCTTCACAAGGTTGTTGCTGTGGTGGTGGTTGCGGTGGAGATTAAAGACCTTCTCATCACCTTCTTATAATCACTCAATTTTATCTACTATATATCATGTCTGAATTTTTAAACGCCCTTCAACTTGATGCAAATTATTAGTTTTGTTTTAGAACTATTGGCAATCTTAATAACACTATCTACTTGATTAATTAAACTTAGATATATCCCTGATCTACTATATGACTTAGAAATGGTCTCCAATTCTTGCACGAGCATGAAAGTCTTAATAAAAAGCCGAGAAAATGGTTCAAAGCATCCCTAAACTTGACGAAAATTTCAGGGTGTATTTCACTCATGTTACAAGATCTAAGTTCAAGTAAAAGAGTGTTTTTAAAACTGTCAATAGTTTAGAAATGAAACTAATTACTCGTGTCAAATATAATATGTTTTCCATACTTTTAAAGTACATATACCTAGTTATTTCACTGTGATATAATATGAATAAAGATTGAAATTAACATGTAATTAGTTTTTCTTCTTCTAATTCTTATTCTAGCTCGTCTCATGTTTAATCATTTTGCATAATGGACACAATTTGATGTCATGTTGAAGGATCGACTAAAACTTTGTCATAACAATTTCGTGCCAACCTTAAGCAATCTAGCCAATGAAGAATCTGTGAGTTGGGATCTCTTTCAATAACAACATCAGAAACAGTAATCTGAAGATTACCTCTGTAGCTACTCATCTTCCCGCGAACTCGAGCAATAACCCCAAGCTGGACTTGAGAAGCAAAATCGGCCGCCATTTGGGCAATAAGTCGAACATTTGATGGGCAACGACGGGAGAAGTAACGCGAACTCTCATGGTTGAGCCATAGGATACAAGGGATGCAACCAGTGCCATCGTCAATATCGAATTTCATAAATCGATTCGCCTTCAAATCTCTGCTGACCACAATACCCACCGTCTCTGCGCGGGAGAGACGTCTCCCCTTGCGAGAAAAAATGGTGGGCTCCTGGGGGATTGATTGCACAGAGAGAAAATCGAAGGCCAATAGCTTGACGTGTGTATTCACAAGCTGTAAAGCATCCATTAATGGAGTCCGTCTACGATGGAGGTTTTTGCCCTCACTACTACTCCCACTGTATGCTAAATCATACAATTAATAGGAAACTTTTTGTTGATATAGTTTTGTGATTACCACATTAGCTAAGGAACTCAAAACTTGGTTTCAAATTTTAATTTTGACTTTTAACTTTTATAATGTACAAATACACAATTTAACTATCCAACTTTTAACTAAATAAACACATGAGTCGACACGATACACGTAGAACACCACGTAAGATAAAAAATAGCATGTAGGACATATGTGTCTATTTGTTCAACTTTATACAAGTTTAAGTGTTTATTTATGCACATCCAAAATTAAAAACATAAATTTGATTTGAAATCAAGTTAAAAGATCATATTATGTATTATGCCTATTATAAACTACAAATTCCAAATGATAGAAATATATTGGTATATTTAAAAGTTGAATTTGGCACAGAAATTGGAGATTTCACAAGTTAATTTGTATGTATTTTTATTTTGAGAGAGTTGTTTGGTAGTTCACAATTGTTTTGTCATATTAATGTAATGCACACACCTCAAGAAAAATTTAATACAAGAAGTAATTTGACTAATATAACTCTACTATATTAAAAATATCAAAAGTCTACATACCTTTAAAATTAAACTACACTATCATTAAGGAAAAATTTGAAAAAAGGTGTCTAATTGTTTCTTGATTATTTAAATTGACAATTAATCTTCGACCTCTATTTTTAGCTTGATTATTTAAATTGACAATTAATCTTCGACGTCTATTTTTAGCTTGATTATCTAAATGGACAATTAATTTTCGACATCTATTTTTAGCGATTGTGGACGGAGGGACTACTAAATAAATCAATATAAATTTGAAACAAAAATTATTTAACATTTACAAATTAAAAAGGTAAATATATCATTTGGATATATATATATATGTGTATATGTTGCTACGACCTTTAACACAACATGATTATCTAGGACCTTTTAACACAATCTAAGGGTCGCTTGGTTGGAAACAACATCAATTATACTGTGATATGCTAGTCCGAAATAAATTATTTCATCATGTATCTAATAACAAAGGTATTCTATTATTAATCCAAAGATTACATGATAGCAGCAAGGAGAGGCAGGATAACAATATTGCTTGGCTTGTCATGGCACAAGAGACTTTTCTGGTTATCGTTTGGGCAGTCATGTTTGATGATAATCACAACCATTATGATTCATGCTAATGTTACAATTATGTTTCCAAGGGCTATATAATGGGGGTCTCAAAACAGGTACCAAAGAGATGTGTTGAGACCAGAGACATTTTTAGCAGTGTCTATTACTTGGCTCTTCCTCCCACCTTCGACATCTTGCTTGCTAGTGGCCACCGCTGCATCCGGCTAAGAAATTTAATACACTAATAATCAAAGAGTGCAATAATCAAACAAATCTTGTGAAATACAAGGCTGAATGCAGCTGTAAACAGGGTTATTCAATTCAATATAATGCTTCACTATCTCAGATGATGTCTTGCAAGTACATATTTCGAGAACCAATCAACACACTAATAATGTATGGTCGCAGAAATTCTGTACAAAAAGTAGTCCATCACTTCAAACACAACCAGAACGGCTGATAGCCATCCTAGTATCAACATAACCAAATATCTTACAACATTTCTGTCAATTTCTTACTAAAATCTGATACAGAATCCACTGAAATTAAACTACAGTTAGGTCAACAGTGACTTCATTCTCTTACTCTGTGTGCAACTAAGACGAGGTCTTCTTCCGAAATAGCTTGCTGATGTCTTCTGTAACAATATTGCTCCTGCACAATTTCATTAAAGCATCTATTAGCCATCATAATTATAAACATATGTTACTTGCAGAAAATAAAAAATATGACTCCCTAGTTAGCTTTAGGAATCTTCTATTAAAGGATGATTACATCATATAATTCACAAGTGCTTTATCCACTTTTGGCATTAGAAAGACTATTTGTCAGGTATTACCTCAGCTATACAATACTATCCTCTAATGGAAATTTTAATCCTGAATTGTACAACTTATTCCCGTTTCTGTGGAGTTCACAGTCAATTCTTTATAATACGCACAACAAGGCAATTGCAGAAAATAGGCCTCCTATGTGCTCAAGCCTGCATTAGATTTTAGTCGTAACGACGGATTGGTGTTTTCTTTTCTTACCAAATACAAAGAATTGAGGAGTGTTCTCCTAATTCCAGCTAAGATGCACAGTATTTATGCCATAATACCAAAAGAAATTATTTGTGATGCTAATATTAGTAATGTCTGATTTATTACGAGTATAACACCTGAATGCCTTGACAAATAAAGGTAACAATTACAGAAAAATATTATGCAGCACAGAAGACTGAATTTCTTTTTTTTCTTCAATAATTACAGAAAGAATAATTACTATTATCATTGTTTCTCTTTTTGATAACTAAGCAAAGTGTTAAAAACAAGTTGAATTTCTAATTGACATGGTTGAAATGAAATAAATATAAGTTGGCCCAGTACCTAGAAGTTGGCCCAGTACCTTTGTTACATATGAGAAAGAATTCCTTATACACAAACCACCCAATAAGAGAATTGGACATTCAACTTCAGGAGGATTCGGCAAAACATATTAAGGACAAACACAAACAGTACAGAAAGTGATACATGATATGATTTGCATAAATAGACGAACTTAATACAGAACATGCAACAAGTATCAAAATTTCAGTATACAACTGACCTTCCGGTAAGTTGAGGTGGGAGCAAAAGACCACCTCCTGTTTCAGGGACATTCTTCATGTTAGGCAAAGTTCCTTTAGGAATCTTACTGCGTGGATAAGTGGATGCTGATACATTTATATCCCGCTTCCTTGTTGCATTTTCAGCCATGGCTGCTGCAACTCGGGAAGAATGGTCAGTATTGAGTCCAAGATGGCCTGGCATTGTAGGTGAATTTAATAGAAGTGATGCATCAGGGAGTTTCAGTTTAGAGGACTCCGATAAATTTGACAAGTGTAATGCTTCTTTATTCAATGATGAACTAGTCCTCCTGCATATGCAATAAAATATAATTGAAGCATGGCCATATAACAAATCATCCTATTACCAAAAGTTCCTCATCTAAATGTAATCCATAGTTTTCAGTTTTCACTAGATCATAAAATGTGAAGAAATAAGATTGTATGCTTCGACTAATAACCAAGCAACATACTTATATTTATAATTGAGTTGCATGTCAGATCTTCAGATATTTTCCCATTTCAAACTAAGCAAATTTATTAATGATTGAATAGTCCAAGCACATACAAGTCAACAGCTTTATAGCACACTACTGCATTGACCAGTCTCCAGTATTCGCTTGGGATATTCTCAGCCAACAGAAGTCATTCTTTTTAACACATAATCTACACTTCACTATTACCTTCGAAGTGCTCTTGGGTGTCCAAACTCCAAATTCCACTAAACTAACAAATCCCCTGCTAGCAAACTTATACCAGTCGTCCCTGTCCCATAATCTCTCCACCTTCTATAGAAATTTTGTGCTATGTGGGACAATACTCAGATTCGCTTTATTCTAGAAAATGCAGGAATATGGGATTGTTTTATCAGTAGGGGATGGGGGATGATAACTCGGAAAATATGCCTTGTATAAATGAAGGCTAGAATCATTCTCTTAACCCTGTCCATCCATCTTCTTTTCCCTACTCCGACATCCTGCCCGTCCTCATCCCTTTGACCTGGCAAACTGGCAGTCCCTCTCCTTATAAATCATTCAATTAAGAAATGCTCCATCACTATAGCATTGAGCAAGAACACTTCCTTATTCCAAGCAATGTCAAAGGACTTGCTGCTTCAATTTACCAAAAATCGTTATAATGTAACACTTGTTCATCAGTTCACGATAGTATTCTTTTTCATAGCTCATCGAGTATAAAAAGTTCACTTTTTTTTTGGTTCTACAATTTCCACCCCTTTATTATCAAACCACAATCCAAGCCCTGGAACACTACATTAAAAAAACAAAAAAAACATTACCCATTACGTAAAACAACTAAAACCCACAAATTCTCTTCAAAATCCAAGTCGTAGAACACTAGAAAAAAGAAAAAACTTAACCCATTAGACAAAAGAACTAAAACCCACAAATTCTCCCTCAAATAGGGATGATCTTTTAATGGAGAACAAAACCCTAGTGAAGAAGACCCAAATAGAAAAACTAACTGGCTGTAAAGGATACTAATTTCATTCATAAAGAAAAGAAAGTTACTGGTTTTGAGGCTGAGGAAGATGGCGATTGTCGTTTGTGGTTGGTAATGGATCCAAAGGGGGACGAGGGGTGAGTTCTTCCGCTTTGCTGAGTTGTTTGTTTTCTTGGGGTTGTTCGTGAAGCTCTTCTTCTTCGTCAGAGGATGCATAATCAACCAAAGACATCTCCTGTATTTTTTCCGATCCTTTCTCCAAACTCTTCCGACTGACGATTTGTCAAAGTATCTCAAGTTTTAATATTTGGAAATTTTAAAAAAAAATATAAATTATCCCTAGTTTTTATATTTTATATAAAAAAAATATATATTTACCATTTATTAATTTCAATGAATATTTGTTTATTATCTTCTTCGAAAAAGTATTAGTTCTACTTTGAGGGATAAAATTGAGAAAAAGAAACAATTTGTGTCTAATGGATTATAATTGTAATTGAATTAGTGACAAATTTGTATCGTCTTACCCATATTGTTATTTTATTATTATTGATTTATATCAGTTATATTATAAGGTTATTAGAAAATGATCGTATAAACTTAAAGATATTTTTAATAATTATTAAAATTTATAAATCATATTTTTCGAAATAGTTTATGATTTGCTAAGAATATTTGAGAACTTGGGGTGAAACCTTAGCTAGGTTTTAATTTATCTTCTCATTTGTAAGTTTATGTTTACTTTTTCTTATTTTAATTAATTTCTCTCCAATAACTATTTTAAATTAATTATCATTAATCATATATTATTATAAGCATGAAACTCAAAACTTAAAAGTTGAATTACTATTTTGTCCCTCTAATAAATTAAAACTTTTATAATTTTCATATATATAATCTT